CCGTTTCCTCCTTGAGGACCTGTTTCGTTCATGCTCTGAGGCTCTCTTGGCACGGCCAGGTGTTTGGCACGAATGCCCAAACTGCACGGCTGCCGTGCGCGTGGCTGCCGACGTCGCGCCGACCAGTTGCATTTCTTGCCCGGTGCGCTCTGTGCGGGTGAACGCTGGCGTTCCGGTGGCGTGCGACTTCAAAACCAAAGCCCCGGCTTGGCGACTGTGTGCTGTTGTTCCAGACGACCGCGCGCAAGCGCGCGCTTCGGCGGTCTGGGAGTGCATCGTCGACTTCGAGACCAAGCACTTGGCGGGCCAGCAGATCCCAAGGGGCTTCTGGACTGCCGTGCGTGGAGAGGCGCGCTGGCGCGTTCCCCTCGTTGGGCCGTTGCCCGAACCGGCCGCTGCAGCCCAGCCCTTGCCTTGAAAAAGTCGCCGAAATCGATTCCGCCACTCCCCCATGTTCATTTCCACCCTCTCCTTCCGGTCCCTCCTCACTCTTATCCACATTTGCGGGGTGCTACGTAGATATATGTGTATGTCTCTCTCTTTTTTTCTGACTCTATCTCTCTCTCTCTCTATCTCTCTCTCTCTCTCTTTCTCTCTTTCCCTGTTTGTATATATACAATCCCAAGCAGGTGTATATCTACATCGCATATACTTGTGCACACATATACATATACCCCGAACTGTGGTCCCATTACCCCACTTCGGGATCATATTTCTGGTCTACGGAATTGGGCCTGTGCGTCGATCTGGCAATTCCGTGCTGGTCGTCGCCGCCCCGACACCGTCCCGTCGCCGACCGTCGCTGCAGATGGATTGTACCACGCAGATTGCACGGAACAAACATTAAACTGCGGCGGGCTAGTTGATCGCTCGCAACATATTGCGCAACATTGATTGCGTCCACCTAGATTCCATAGCACGTGTTGCAGCATATATGTTGCACGACGATGTGTTCGCCCCTGCGGCACACATTTTGACTGTTCACAACATAGATTGCGCTACGTATGCTGCGCGCCATAAATTGCAACACAAACATTTTCCAAACTATACCGCGCAATCTATATTGCATGACGTACACTCAATTGCGCAACGCACGCTGCATACATGTAGATACGTATGTATGTATGTGTTGCGTTGCATATGTTGTACAACGTAGACGCAATTACATATATTGTTCATCATCGGTTGCACCACGTATACCGCATAATCTAGACCCCCCCTTCCTGCAACAAAAATAGGACCTCAGCCCTCCTCCTGCACTTAACTGTCACCATCACATATTGCAATTTACATATAATTCTGCCCCACCGCCCGTCCGAATTATGGGCACATATCGTGACATGCAGGCCGGCAATCCCTCCCCCTCGTCCGACGCAAAACATTGTACGCTCACGACCTCGTTTATCAAACATCATCAATTTTCAAGAACGCCTTGCAACAACTGGGACGAAATGCGCACGCTCGCGTCGTCGCGCGCGCATGTCGGAATCCTTGAAAGCCACACACAAAATCGTTAACATTTCAAAGTCGAATGCCCCGACAACATATAAACACATCGCTTCACAATAACGACCATCAAATAAAGAACCTGCACTCCGGCACTCGCGGGCTCTTGAAGAAACCGCTGGTGTTCAACGAGTAAAACTTGTAACCAAACGGGCATCTCGCGCCCGCAGGTCGACATGGCAAAACAACTCTTGCGCGTGTGCTGTCGCAAGAACCCTTCGCAAAAACTGAATGCACTGCACACGCGCGCGTCGTCGCGCGCGCATGCCGAAATCCTTCCCGAACCAATAAGATGCGTAAATATTTTCATCCAGTCCCGCACTATTCCGAAACATACGCGATTTCGCAACATCGGTTTCCAACAACAACTGCGCGTTCGTTTTCTTTTACCGTAACAAAACAAACCAACCTGTTTCTAAATTCTGTTGAATGAAATTCCGCCTAAGTGGTTTCTTGCGCCGCGTCTCGAAATTGTTCGAACGCCCTTTCGCGCGGGCTGGGAGGGCGGAGGGCGGGCACGATCCGCGTGGGACACTACCATTCGGGCCACCTTCGCATGTCGGCCGCGAATTCATTCCCAAGCCTCCGTCACCGACGCGAAAACGCCGTCATCATCGCCGGCGTGATCAGCATCGGCGCCGTCACTGGCCGTGCCATCGTCGTTGTGATCATCGTCGCCAGCATCGTTACCCGCATCATCGCGTCTACCGTTGTCGACGTTGACATGATACCCCGCCCGCCCAAGTAACAGACTTGCACTGAAGTGCGCTCGGGAACTGCCCAGCGGTCAGCGCCACCGCGGCCGCGTCGGTCGCGCCAAAGTGGCTGGCCGCTTTGCGCGCGAGCGTGCGCGCAGGCGCGGCCGCGGCGATGCGCCAACCAGCGCCGAGCACCCATCGCAATCGCCGCCGCATGGGTTTTGCAAACTCAACTGTGGGTGGGTGGGTGGGACGACCCCACGCGACCCGTGGAGATGACAACTTCAAGTTCGGCAGGGTGAACTTTGCTTTCTAAAAATAATAAGACCTCCCCTCCACTCCCGGGAATTGACGCCCCCGTCTGCGTATTACAAATTACGAATCGTTCTGCCGCGTCGTCCACCTTGAATTTGAATCCGCACCTTCCCAAGCAGGGCGGTACCAGTACCCCCCTTCACCCTCCACAGCAAATACTATGCGCGCGCACTCGTTCATCAAAAAACCACCCGTCTTCAAGAATCCATTACACCAGACGGGACGAAAAAGCACACACGCGCGCGTCGTCGCGCGCGCATGCAGGCTGGAACCCTCCAAAAACAATAGGTATCGTAAGGCCTTCAACCCCGAGGGTCCTGGAAACATATACAAGCACACGCATTCGCCACAAAACTCTGAACACAAGCTTACATTCGGGTTCTTGCGAATTCTTTCCCCGAGTAAAAACTATGATATCGTTCCCCCATAAGCTGCTATCAAACAGGCCTCTCGCGCTTACGTGTCGGAATCGCTCGGACGCCTGTGCGCGCGTGCTGTCGGAAGGACCCCTTGTAACAATTTGGCGACATGCACGCATGCGCATCGTCGCGCGCGCATGCCGAAACCCTTGTAAAACACAGAAGTGTCGCAAAACACGACTGTCCCAGAACCAAGTATAAGAATATTGTGTTCCAGCACCACTTTGCAAAAACGCCTGCGCTCGCGCCACTGCGAATTCTTTTTCTTTAAAAAAAAAACATAGGTGCTCAATATCTGCATTAAACTATGCCGAAGTGGCCGTTCGCGCCGCACGTCGGCATCGTTCGAACGCCCTGGCGGGCGTGCTGGGACGGGGGGGGGACGATCTGCATCAAATACTACAATTGGGCCACTCTCGCGCGTCGGCCGCGCGCGCATGTCGAGCTTCTCAAAACCTTCATCGCCGACGCGGGGGCGCCGTCATCGTCGTCGGCGGGATCTACATCGGCGACGTCACTGGCCTTGCCGTCGTCGTTGTTACCATCGCTACACCAGCATCGCTACCCTCATCATCGCGTCTACCTTTGTCGACGTTGACATGATATCGCTCCCGCCCAAGTCGCCGACTCGCACTGAAACGCCCGCTGGGGAGTGCCCAGCGGTCAGCGCCACCGCGGCCGCGTCGGTCGCGCCAAACTACGTGGCCGCTGCGCGAGCGAGCATGCGCGGCCCAGCGCGGCCGCGGCGATGCACCAGCCAACTCCAAGCATTCATCGCAATCGCCGCCGCATGGGTTCTGCAAACCAATTTGCGGGCAGGTCGGTGGGATGATTACGCGAGCAATGGAGTGCACAACTCACGGCGAACATAAACTGATGACACCACACGGATCATACCCCAAACATTGCACCACGTATATCGCACCACACACATGGGTTCACACACACACACCCTCGCATACATGTATAAATATGTATACAGGCATGTGCATATATATATATATATATATACATTATCACATAAACGGCACCACGTGAATTACACCACAGACATTGCCCATCGTAGATGGCACAGCATACATCGCACCACATATATCTGATTACATAGCTTGCACCAACTAGACTGCTTCTTAAGGTTGCACCACATAGGTTGCACCACATAGGTTGCTCCACATAGATCGCACCATACTTATATATATATATATACAGCTAGAGGCACACTGATTGGGGTCCACGTTGGTTAACACGCATGCTGATAATGTGATTCACGCAGGGTTGCGCTAAGCGTCTCGAAACAGTCCATGCTCCAACAAGGCCTCTGGTCCGAAACGGGGCCACCCCTGTCTACTGAGCCAGCGATGACATTCGGTGAAGCCTCAACCCGGCAGCCCGCGGGGGACGACGAGGGCATCGAGCCGAACCCGGCCGCGGCGACCGCGGGAGTGACAAAGGAACCACCCTGCGCCCATGATGCGAGCCGAGCCCGGCCGCCGACGAGGACCGGGAAAGGACGGGGTGCCTCTGTTCCCAGGGCCACGTGCGTTACGCCGGTTTCGCCGGAACAGCGCCGGGCCCCCACTTCGCCCAGCACGACTCTCATGAGGACGCCTGTGGGGGTGCCGTACCGGCGTAATAGACGTCGCTGCCAAAGGCATTCATCGCTGCACTCCTCGCAACAGCTGCACGAAACCAGGATGGCGAAGCGGCTGGTGGGAGTCCTCACGGTGGCATACTATCTGCACCTGGACATGCTCTAAACCGTCCCCCCCTGTCTTCGCAATGCGGGAGGCCAATAGAATCACATAAGCGAGCCGACGCATACAGTTGGCAAGAAGCGCTGACGGCAGCACAACTCCATCAAGACTCCGCCTGGCTTCTGGGGAAAAAGAAAAGCAACGAGCAGAGCCCTCCGAGCTAGCAGAAGCCCTCCGACCCGGTGGTGCCCGCACCGCTGCTGCCCAGGAGACTTCCCGCGAGTGACTGGCGGCCAGCGCCAGCGACGACTGCGTCGACGGTGACCTCGGCGACGACAGCGACGGCAGCGACGACGGCCGACGGCGGCCTGCGCGTACTCGTTCCAGTTCGGCTCCGCGACTGAGAGCTTCTCGCGCACGCTCACGGTGGCCTTGTGGTGGCTGAGCCCCACGACATGCACCTGGCACACAGATCAGCGAAATCACATGAAACATGGGCTTGCGTGCTGTAAGTATTCTGTTGTTTGAGGAGGTTTGCTGTCGAGAAAGATTGGGGCGCCCTCTTCCGCCTCCTGGGCGTGCGGAGAGGCGGAGAGGCAGAGGGCGACGAAGGAGGCGGGGGAGGGGGGGCGGGGGAGGAGGAGGAGGAGCAGGATGAGGAGGAGGAGGAGGAGAAGGAAGAGGAGGAGGAGGAGGGGGAGGGGGAGGGGGAGGGGGATGATGATGATGATGATGATGGTGATGATGATGAGGAGGAGAAGGAGGAGGAGGAGGAGGGTGACGAGGACAAGCCAGGTGCGCTCGCGTCATTTCTGACGTCCTACCCCTCCCTCCCATCCCTTACCATGGCGTAGATGTCCTCTCTGTTCGCAGTCAGATGTCGAACGGGGCAATGCTCGCGAGAGGGTACACGATGCATGGTAGAACACGGCATGGCATGGCGCAGAAGAGCACGGCTGAGCGTAGCATGCCGGAATTGCATCACAAAGCACTGCATCGCAAAGCGTGGCATCGCACACTGGCGCAGAACACAACACCGCACAAAATGTTATGGCATGGCGCTGGGTTCCTTGGAGGGTAGAAAGATCGTCTTCGAGAGGTCTTGGCCAGTCTGGAGTCGTGGCTCTATGTCTAGCTCCTTGGGCTCCCCGGATAGCTCCACACAAGGCGGGGCTGATGGAAACCACCCGATGGCTCTGCTTCCAACATCGCCTTGTCAACAGAAACGGGGCTCCAGCATCATACTTGCTGAAAACGACGGCGCTCCAAAGCGGGGGAGGACGTCTGCGGCCCCAGAAATCAACGAGTCGACACCGAAAGTGTCATCACTTCCGATGGCTTTGTTCGGGGGACCAGGTTCTAGATTTTGGGGCCTATTTGGAAGGAAGGCCAGCGTTGCAGCGGGAGCACTATTCGCAACGAGCGGAAGCACGGACATGAGGCCAGCGCTGCAGCGGGAGCACGATTCGGAACGAGCGGAAGCCCGCAAATGAGGCCAGCGCTTCAGCGGGAGCAAAACCCGAGCGAAAACCCATGTTCCAGGAATCTGGTGGACAAAAAAGCACTGTGCGGAGGGGGGCTGGATAGCTTCCGGACGTCGTCAGGGCAAAGAGGAGAGTACAGTCGGGGCGTTGACCTAAGGAACCCTAAATAAGGAACAAGGCCCCTTTGTCCCATAAGTTAAACTTCGATGTCACATGGAAAACCTCAGGAACCCCCAGGGCAAACTGCAACACAATCAAGGAACACCGAGCCCCTCCCCAACGGAAGGGGTTCCTTCTTCAGCGCCCCGACTGTAGTATTCGGGCACACGGGGAGATGGGCAGGGGGACGAGGCGGAGGGCGCGGCATCGAAGCCAGGCGGTGGGGGAGGCAGGCGGGCAAGACGGCAGGACGGAAAAGGGGGGGAGGCGGGGAGGGCGTCAGAGGCCGGGGGGGCACAGCTCAGCATTCGGCATGCAGCGTGCGGCGAGTCCCGCGCGTGGGGGACAGGTCCCAAAAGAGAGAGAGAGAGAGAGAGAGAGAGAGAGAGACGACGACGACGACGACGACGCCGACGCCGACGCCGACGCCGACGACCAGACGACGATAGGACGACGGACGGTGAAACAGGGAGCAGGAGGAGGAAGAGGAGGAGTAGGAGGAGGAGGAGGAGGAGGAGGAGGAGGAGGGGGAGTAGGATGAAAGGGAGGAGGAGGAGGAGAAGGATGAGGAGGAGGCGGAGGAAGAAAGAAAGGAGAGGAGCAGGAGGAGGATGAGGAGGAAAGGGAGGAGGAGGAGGAGCAGGAGGAGGAGGAGAAGGAGGACAGAGGAGGAGCAGGAGGAAGAGGAGGAGGAGAGGAAGAGGAGGAGAAGGAGGAGGGGAGGAGGGGAGGAGGAGAAAGGGGAGGAGAACTGGGGAGGAGAGCAGGATGAGGAGGAGGAGGAGGATGTTGAGGAGGTAAGGAAGGATGCGGCGGAGGAGCAGGAGGAGGAGGAGCAGGAGGAGGAGGAGGAGGAGGAGGAGAACGAGCTCGAGGTGGTGAGAATGGGAGGCGGGGGCTGGGCAGGAGGGACTCTAGCAGGAGGAGGGGTGCACGCGTGCGCGAGGAGGCGCCGTGCCGAGAAAACGTGCCTCCTCACGCGCCCAGCGGCACGGACTCGGCAACCCCCCGGGCTGGCCCAAGGGGTCCGAAAGTGGGGGGGAGAGGATGGATCTTGCTGGAATTCGCTGGAAACCACGGCGCGGTGGCGAACTCAGAGTCCATTCAGGA